TAGCATTTAAAATGAGTTTTTAGTGTTTTACTATTAATTTATTTAGACAAAAAAGTATAACATTTTAATATTTGACATACATTTGTTATCAGTTTATCTGCGCATTGCTTACTACTTCATACGTACTGTATTATTTTGTGATGCATAAATTCACTTGTAGTGTTTAAAATGATTTATTTTAGCATTTATTTATTTTATTTTTTTTTATTTAGACCAATTAGTATAGAAATGTAATATCTGCCATTTACTGGTTATCAGTTTATCTATATAACAGTATTGGGTGTTTATTAATATCTGTGCATAAATATTAATATCTATGCAAAAATACAATAATGAAATCTAAATGAAACACACTATCTTTAAAAATGTAATAAGATATTCAACCCCTTTATCCAATTCCAAGAAAATCATCCTCATCTTCATTTTCAGACACATTCAACTAACACACTGGTTTCCATTTTCATTATTGGAATTACATTATTATAAATATTTATTTGTTTACACATTTTTCATTATTGAATAGTGCAGTAAGATCTTTGAAGCCACCCCAGATTTATAGTCTGTAAACTGTTAAAAGCTCTAGATCTAGCTCTGAATAACTCGGTACATTATGGCAAATTTAAAGCACCTTGGATTAAAACTCAATCTGAAAAGGGTTTCTGTTACAAGGGGAATCCTGGACCAGAGTCCAGCAGTGACCTAAACTGACTGTGTAAAAGCCAGATTAGACTTGACATGGAACACCCCTCATTTATTACCTCACAAGCATTCCTGATGTTAAGTGGCCTCTCAGTGCTGACCACGTATCCCATAATGCACTTGTCGCACTCTGCCTGTGTGTAGCTGTAGACAGACTCCTCATCTGATTGGAAGATAGGACTCAAACACTTTACCTGTTTTGTCCACTGTTGTCATGGAGAGAGTGAGCCTGAGTGATCTCATAGAGTTGCTGTAGGATCTGAAGACAGATGTGTTTGTTTTGTAGAGGTCTAATCGGACCACCAAAGAACCACATCATGAAGTTACAGGCCTCACCTCTTTTACACTGTCCCGCTGGTCTTGGGGAGCTCAGAGAATGTGGCAAACACTTCTACCTTGACATACAAGGTGAAAATGGAAAGCATGTAGACTGTAGTGACCGAGGAGAATGACCCCCGGCCTGATCCAGACACACAGGATCATCAGTCTGATGGACGGAAAGGCAAGAGCGTGGTCCTTCCATTGTGGCAGGGTACACATGCCCTCGAGAGGGCCCACAGACAGGATGGGACACTCTACGTCTGCCAAGAATATTCAACCTAGACCTTGGCTCAGTTTTTAGGGTTTGGGCATCTTGGGTTCTTTCTACACAGCCATGCACCCAATGTCTAAGAAAAGACATAATAGCAGGTTAGATTGCACTACTAGCAATTTGGGAATAGCCTGTATATCTTAGGTTGTTGATCCACCAGACCAAATTAAAATAGAAATTCATACTGGATTAAGCAGGTCTTTTCATCAAACACCGTCTGTGAGATCATTTATGATGTAAACAAATAAACAATGAAATGTGTCAATAAACAAATATTTTTAAAGAAATTACTGTATCACTGTTTTCACAAAAATATTAAGCAGCACTTTTTTTTTTACATTGCTAATAACACTGTATGTTTCTTGAGTAGAAAATCAGCATATTATAATGATTTTTGAAGGATCATGTGACACTGAAGACTGGAGTAATGACTGCTGAAAATTCAGCTTTGCCATCACAGAAATAAACTATAATTTAAACCATGCTGAAACAGAAAACAGTTGTCTGAAATTGTCTTAATATTTCACAATACTACTGTTTCAACTGTATTTTTTATCAAATAAATGCTGCCTTGGTGAGCCAAGAGACTTCTTTTAAAACATTAATATATATATATATATATATTATAATATCTGTTCACTATTAAATTTGTGTAAAGTTATGCTATTAATATTAAACTGTAACTTTTTTATGTTTAAGCTGTATATTGATCACTTTTTATGTCCTTCAAAGCCTGATGACTCGCACCCAAGCATTTATTTGGCTAAAACAAATGAAACAACTTAATTTTCAACTATTTTCTAATATGTAATACACTTTAAAAATGCTATTTATGTTGGTTTATTGATTTGTGTGGCACATTAAAACTTTACCCTTTCATTGCTGCATATATTAACGGGGCCACACCCAAGACCCTCACCTCCTGCCCTTAATTTAAACCATGCTGAAACAGAAAACAGTTGTCTGAAATTGTCTTAATATTTCACAATACTACTGTTCCAACTGTATTTTTTATCAAATAAATGCTGCCTTGGTGAGCCAAGAGACTTCTTTTAAAACATTAATATATATATATATATATATATATGTCACAACTGAAAATAGTAAAGCATTGCAACAATTTCTTATTCTCTTGTTCTATCCAGCACTACACAGAACCCTATCCTGTTGCATTTTGACTGAAAAAATGCATCATATATCACATAATTTTTTCACACTCTCTCAGAACAAAGACGGCTACACTGCTCACCTTGAGGATCTGCTAAAGTAAGACCTGGCAGAATCCGAATGATCATCCAGCCATGCCTTCACTTTCTCACTTTCCTTTCCCATCCTGAATCCCAGTCTCTGGGTTTTGGCCCCTGGGGTCCAGAGAGGGGAGAAGAGCCATCCAGCACTGGTGATGACACACTGTGAACCCTTCTCTCCATTCTTCCCCTTTTTACCTGACTTAGATCTGGACCCTTGAGACCCCCTGCGGCCTGAGGAAACTGCATACCTCCCTTCAGCAGGCAAAGAGGGCAGGGACTCCGTTTGCAGACATGGCATGTTTTCTCTCGCCTATCTTCTCTCCAAAAGAAGATGCAGATATGCAAGCTGCTGGACCTTCCTGAAGGAGCGATAAAAAGAGATGAAAATCACAGCTGGTGTCCAAGGCAGGTCAGAGGATTAAGCTTTGCTGTCACCAGCTACACTAACATCTCAACTCTGCACAGTGGAGTTGGAGGCTAATCTGTTACATAAAACGAATCTGTGAAATAACACCAAGAGGTTCTGATGTGCCCATTCAGGCAACAGGATTAGTGTCCCGGAGAACTATTAATGACTTTGCACTCTTGTCTTTAACTCACTCTACCTGACAAATAGCTATTAGAAAATGTCAAGTGGACATAAATAGACAAACCTCACATGATCCAGACCCAAATAAATAAGCAAACTGATTAAAGACTGGAACAGAGCATGAGGACATAATGATTACTGAACATGTCAGAGTATATTTAATAAGGTAGAAAACACATTTAAATGTATTTTATGGCATTTTGTGAAATAACCTTACAAGTAAATAAATAAACAAATAAATAAAAAGTAACACTAAGATTATTGTAGAGACAATAAGTGCTGATAATGAAAATATTTATTTTAGAAAAAATGCTATAACATTTTTAAGCCTTATATTATAATATTCTGTATATTATCTGCGTAATATTTTGTTTTCTTCATTATAAACAGATTATGACTATAACATCATCCAAAAAAAAAAAAACATCCTGACTGAAGAGCAGGAATTTCCAAATAGGTGGTGTCTGTTACAACAAACCCCCTTAAAAAATAAAATAAAAAACACAAATCAGTGCAGAAAATCACGTTCCTTTTCTAGAAAGCACTTCCCCTTCCCACATGAAAGTTTCACTACTGCTTATAACTCGTTTGAAACCATAAGTTAACGTGATGCAATACTTCTAAAGTCCACTAAAGTACAATACTTCCAATGTATAACATATAAAGTATAATATAATTATGTACAGCATAATACTTACAAGAATAATAACAATGTCTTGCTGTTTGTTTATTTATTTATTGCTGTTGCTGCAACAGACCTGCCTAAACATCTCTTTATAAGTTTATATTTGATATTAGCGCCCTCTACTGGTCTTCTTAAAAACGGGAGGCATACCTTACCTGAAAGACATGACTCATTTTCTGTCAGCTGTACCGATGAAGTTGAATTTTGCATGCGATTCATCGGCCTTCATAAGTACAAGTGGTAAGAATGTACATTATAGTACATTAACTTTTGAAAAGCGTTCACCGTACGGTTTTATAACAGATTTTTACTGCTTTTAAACGTTTTTTTTGTGCCAGTAGCGGCACCAAATAAAATTGCAAAAATAAAGACTGATTACAACAAGTTTTAGGTTCATAATACCGCATCATAAATTACAAAGACTCGTGCCTCTCAAATGCGATTTTTGAAGACCCTGTGCTTTTTTTTATAACCTTAAAGGTATTGTCACATTTACAACTGCTTGGCGAAATTTCGCGGGTGAAATTGAATCTGCTTGACCGGGGTTTTCCGTGTGAGGCAAAAAAAAGAGTTGCAGTTACAAACCTTATTTTCCTCATTAAACGAAAACCACCATTCTAAAAAGATCCTAAAAGGAGAGACCTTAAGTGCTTAATTAATTTACTTTAATTTCTTTTATTCATTTGAATCCTACATTTTTTTAACTTTCTTTCTCAACTTATTTGTTGTGTTTTAATTTATTATTTATTTATTTGCATTTATGAATGACATTTGAAAGTGCATATTTTGTTTATCATACTCAAAAAAAAAACATTATACGTGTATTTATCTGTATTGCTAAATTATCTTAGCTTTAGTTACCTCTTTTTTCATTGCATTTCATTGTTTCCTTTCATACCAAAATCAAACCAGCAGCACAGATTTACTGTCGTCAGTTTAGATTGTAGTTGTTGTGAAATCCTAAACTTTCCCATTGTCCTGTGCAATAATATCTACAAACACCAGGTGGAGCAATTTAACAAGGTTTCATAGCATCTTTCCCGTCTTCCCAATATTCTCACATTATTTCTTTAAATTCAGTCAGACCTCTTTTCACATTCATGTACATCTCTTTTTGCTTACCTCCAAAGTGAACCTTCCATTATTTGCCTCCTTATCTGCATTTCCTCTTCCATCCTTGCCGTTTTGGATGTCATTTGCTCCATTTCCCATCAGTCTCATCATCATGTCACAGTACTCACTCCAGTGAAATTTCTGGCTCCGCCGCATTCCAGATTCTCTTGCCTCCATCTCTCTGATTTCCTCGTCTACTCTCCTCTCCAGGCTCATTCCTCTTGTCACCTGCAGTGGGAGGTGCGGCTGAGGATAGCCGGGCTCTGATTGGCCGAGCAGGGAGGAGGCTTCTGTGATATCGTGATGCTGTGCAGATGCTCAGCGGCAGTGGTAGTCGAGAAAGACAGGCTGGCGGTATCCTCTCTATCTCTCTCTCCTTCTTTCTCTCCCTCCCCCCTCTTTTTCATCTTTCCTTTCCCTTCACGCAGAAGCACGCATACACACACGCGCACTCCGTCACACTGCAGCACAAGGGAGAGGACACACCGTGAAGCTGTGAGGTACGACCAGGCCTCTCCCTCCTCATCCCTCCTGTGAAAGACAACCTGTCTCTCTCTCCTCAGCTCTCCTTGCTCTCCTTCAAGGACTACCGCACTCACGCCTGGAAAAGGACTTACTGCAGCACGACGGATCTACAGATCATTCGCACACCTAGATCCTCTTTTTTTCCCTCTAGGTTTCTTGTTGCCAGGCAGTGTTGGCTGAGCGTCAGGACATGCGCTCGAGCATGTGTGCGTATGACAAGGTGCTTTTCTAGAGCTGACTGAACTGTGGTTTATTCATCCCGTTTTTTCCTCCCTTTTCCCTGTCCTCGGCGCTCATCGTCCTCCTGACAAAGCCGGACCGTATCCCAGGATGCCGTGCAGCAGGCCACTCTGCTAGGCCGCAGCAGCATGGGCAAAGCGCCGGGGGGGTGGGACAGCACGGATTGGACGGCTCTGCTCCGGACGGGCGCGCTTACGCACTCCGCCGCTTCCGATGGGTGAGGACAGCGAGAGCCCCAAAATCAATCACAGCTTCCTCCGAGACTATGTCACAGAAGGTATGTGCACACACCTGCATGAACACTCCCTCTTTGCTTAGAAGAGAAAAGCACGTCCTTTCCCATTATACACACTCACATACTCAACCATAATTTGATCCTGTTCACCTCTCTGAAGTCCTGAAAATAACCTTCATCTCAGCAGCTGAGCGGTAAGGTCTTCTAATTCAGCTGACTCAGACTTTGATCCCACCACACACCTATTATTGGGTTACAGCATGCATTAGTGAGACTGTTTTCATTCAATTATTGGGCGTTGTGAGCGAGCCAGAATAATGCATGTGCAAACAGAACCAAGACAGTCTTACATTTAATGCATTTGAATAGAATTAAAATCATATTTGTTTGATTTTGAAGCATGTATTTTAATTTTTCATACAAGCATTTGCATATTATTCCCTAAAATTGTCTAGGAGTTGTTTGTGTCTTTTGCAGGCCTTTCCATAATCACGTTACAGAGCAGAATGATTCGTCGGGAGCAGGCCAGGCTGTTTTATTTAGTGTCATCATCATTGTACTAACAGAAGCAACAGCATGACATGCTGTTTATCAACTATTAGGGTGTACAATGTGAAGCCATATGCCCAGACGAAGCTCTTGAATAAAAGTGTTTATTCTGTCAAAACCACAGTTGTGCTGTGCTAGCACATGGCCATGAACTTCTATTACTTTAGGTAATTTGTACCGTAAAAGGCTTTTTTTTTTTTCGGCTGGGAGTTTCATGCAAGACTATTACGTAAAAGTATTAGCATTTAGCTCCAGTTATGCAGAAATTCTCCAACCATGTATTCCAATTCTGTATAAATTTGTACATATTGTCTATGAAATTTAAAATAAATACTGTGTTTCCACCTGCAGTTATTCACATCCCTAAAATCTGTAATCTTCCAATATAGAAAAGTAAAATGGTAGGGTTAAATGGTTATTTTTCAAAGACTAATGCATATATATATATATAAATGCAACCACTTCCTGTCCATCAGGAGTTAAACTAGCCTCATATTTGTCAATGTAATCCTCCTAATTACACGATGAGCCATTCATTACAAGAGGGTCATAATTTTAGGCCGAATATTAAAAGGCATTGTATTTATTTTGTGCAAGAAATAAAATAGTTGAAATAGTTGGACTGAATTGCATTTCACATTGCTACTATCTGTAAGTACCAATGAATCATAAGACATTTTTAATAGTAACATAAGCATGAACAATGCTTATCAAGACCACTTGCATTAAATATGCCTTTCAAAGCCACAGAAATATGTATTGATGTTTTAGCATGAATAGCTGGTAATTTCTAAGACATGTTCCAACAGATAAAACTATAAAGTTATGGAAGGTGAGCGAGAGAGACAAGCGGCCAGAGGGCTACAATCTGAAGGACGAAGAAGGGCGAATAAAGGACATCTCCACCGTGACGTCATTACGGGTATTTTCACAGCTGGCATATTCAATCCAGTGCAGATGGAGGGTTTGATTTATTTAGTTATTTATCATTTGTTTTAGTCACTGATTTTGTCATGCTCTAAAAAAATTAACATACACAGCTCTCTGGAATACATTTCTGATTGGTCAGTCAATGCATTCTGTGGTTAAATATTTTTGTATAATGACTGCTAAATTGTATATTTGACAGCTGACATTATCAACCTGCTTGCAGTATCTATTTCCTGCATAAAGTATCTGTGCTAGTTTCTCATATAACTCCCTGGGTTATTTCTTCGCACATGATGATAGCTCAAATCAATATTTCAAGTCCATTTTTTTTTTTTTTCGGTAAGTAGTGGTGTAATAAGCCAGATAATTTACAATTAGTTGGTCATTATCTCAAAATATAGTTTTTTTAGGGTAATATGAGATGTGATCAGGGTCCTGATCACTGTGATAATACGATAACCTAAAAAAAAATACAGTTAAAACAGAAATTAAATGAATGAATGAAACCAATATGCACTGTTTTTAACATTTAGATTGTTACCCTAATTTTGAGTAGGTGATCTAAAATAAAAGAAGACTTCTGATGCAAAAATGTCATTTCCTTCAAGGTGCCGGTCCTGAAGCCCACTGACCTGATGGTTGAGGTGCGGCCGAGGAGAATCTTTGCCAACGGCCACACCTACCACGTCAACTCCATATCAGTCAATAGTGATGGCGAGACATATCTGTCTGCTGATGATCTCAGGATCAACATGTGGCACCTGGATATCACAGATCGAAGCTTCAGTATCCTTTATGTCTATCCTTCTGCCTATTCACTCACAGACAAAATATAAGATAAAACAAAATGCAACCATCGTGACTCTTTAAACTGGCTTATATAAAATCAAATAATTGGGACAGAGGCATAAACGTTGCATGCAGTATAAAACTGGTTGCTTTCGTTTCTTTGTGTTCTTGTGACTGGACTGAAGGCAGAAGGTTTTGTGTTCCAGATTGCACAGCTGCTCTTCTTTTGAGCAGGGCTCTGACCTAGAAATAAAATATCTATGGAAACATTTAAATAATTCACCAAGGAAACACTCTCCTCTAAAACACATAATAGCTGCCTTCAGGAAAATTGTAGGTTGTGTGCATGTGATGCGTAGTGCTTACTGAGTAGATGTGTGTGGATGAACATGTATGTGTGCGTGTGAGTGCTCAGAATGATAATCATATAACTACAGCTTTACACCAATCAGGGAGCTGATGATACATAGTTTATAAGCCCCCACTATCAGAATGTGCTTTTAGTTTTAGGCCTTATGCGATCTCTGTTTCTTAAAAGGGGAACTAAAATACCAAAAAAATATAAAAGTGGTCAATATGACTCATGGGCTATATTTCAAGTCTTCTGATACCATACAATATTTGTGTGAGAAACAGACCAAAATTTAAGCTGTTATTCACTAAAAATCTTGACATCTGCATGAGTTCCTGAAAGAATTAGGAGTCTCAAACAGAGAAGAGAGCTTTCAGAGCTGTAAATCAGAAATTCTCCTTGACCCCTCCCCCTTTCAGACATTGTGGACATTAAGCCAGCTAATATGGAGGACCTGACGGAGGTAATAACAGCTGCAGAGTTCCACCCACAGCACTGCCACCTGTTTGTATACAGCAGCAGTAAAGGCACGTTACGCCTCTGTGACATGAGAGAGTCGGCACTCTGTGACAAGCACTCCAAAAGTAAGTATATGCTTTTTAAACGCATAGACTGCATTACCTACATTACCTTTCAAAAGTTTTTTTTTATTATTTTTTTTTAAACAAATTAATGCTTTTAGTCGACAAGGATGCATAAATTGATCCAAAGTTACAGTAAAGACATATATTATACAAGTTTACAAAAGATATATATTTATGCAGGTTTTTTTTTTTACTTTCTGTTCATCAAAAGAATCTTAAAAATTATGCATCACAGTGTTCACAAAATATTAATGAGAAATGATTCTTTAGCACCAAATCAGCATATTAAAATGATTCTGAAGGATCACTGAAGTGACACTGAAGACTGGAGTAATGTCTGCTGAAAATTCAGCTTTGCCATAACAGGGAAAAAAATACATTTTAAAAGACAGTTTTAATTGTAATGATATTTCATAATATTACTGTTTTACTGTATTTTTTATCAAATAAATGCAGCCTTAGTGAGCATAAGAGACTCAGAGAAAATATAAAAATCTTACCAACCTTAAATTTTTGAACAGTAGTGTATACCATTTTAAGTTTACTTTGCACACTTTTACAGTAAACATGAAATCAATATATACACTTAATTTTGTCTTGTAATAATGTTTTGTAATAATTAGAAGAAAAGACAATGCCTCTTGTGACAGATGAATCTATTCCCAAACTATTTCCAAATCTTGCATTTAACCTCTTGAGTTTCTTTATGCCCTTCTTTACTTAGCTAGAACCTGTTGTAAGTAGTTTAGTTAAAAAAGACAGCGGGACACAGAAGAACAGCTGTGCTAGCTGCTGGGGAAATTAGCACTGTAGCAGATGTAGTGAGATTTACACTTACAGCTGCATTAAAAGACAAGCAGACCACAGTGTTAAAGATGTTTCATTGCTGTCATTAAGTGTAAAACCATTGAAACGGTTTCCCAGCACACTCAGACTTTCAAGTGCATCTGACGTATCTTTTCTCCACTTTTAGTCTTTGAGGAGCCAGAGGACCCAGGCAATCGATCTTTCTTCTCTGAGATCGTCTCGTCGGTTTCTGACGTTAAGTTCAGCCATAGTGGACGCTATCTGCTCACCAGAGACTACTTGACTGTCAAAGTATGGGACCTCAACATGGAGAAGGGCCCAGTGGAGACCTACCAGGTGGGCAACTTGCAGGTCTTCGTAAACAATACCATAAACATATGATATTTACAACATATATGCTAGGCTAAACTATTTCTGGCTGATTTTAATTTTTTTTCCCTTGTGCAGTAAGACACTTTTTATACTTATATTCTAGTGAATCAGTTCAACCTAAATGGTCCTCTCCTGTGAGGTGTTGGAAAGTTAGTGTTATTTATATACTATTATAGTATTTATTAAATTAACGTTTAGTACTTTTGTTATAAGATTTTGTCATTTTTATTGTATTTCTTTACTATTTGTATTTAGCTTTATTTTTATTTCAGTCTTATTTTTTAGCAATTTTAACACTTCAGCTTAAACTTATTTTATTTCTGTTAGTTGCCAAGGCAACATTTCTAATCTGATATTTAAATGTGATTTTATTTCATCTTTATTTCGATTAACAAAAACATTTTTTAATATTTGTAATTTTACTTAGCAATACCAACACTGATCGAAGTAGATTCTCATGGACAATTTATGTAAATGAACAGATTCAATTAATAATTAACTGATTTGAGTCCCTGTGCTCCATTTTCCATCTTCTTTATTTTTATAGCAAAATATTTAGTCATATTCTGCTGTGCATCACTGTTTTTAACTCTGTTATTTAAATTAGGGTGTATTCTTGTTTTTAGTATAAATATATATGAACATTTCTTTATGTGTCAGGTGCATGAGTACCTAAGAAGCAAGCTCTGCTCTTTGTATGAAAACGACTGCATCTTTGACAAGTTTGAGTGCGTCTGGAACAGCACAGACAGGTAAGCATTTCTGAGGCCTTGAATAATCATATTTTATGCAATATAGGCTTATTTCCTGTTTTATACTCATACCCTCTTTCTCTCCCTTTCTACTTTCTCTCTCGTATTTCCATTATGGTTTTTATCCTATTGATTTGCTGATTTGTTCCTCTTCCAAACTCTTTTTCACTCCGCATACCCATTCTGGTTTATACCCATCATGCTTACCGTACCCCCTTCAAGTGTAATCATGACAGGAGCGTATAACAGTTTTTTCCGGATGTTTGATCGTGAGACCGGTCGCGGTGTAACCCTCGAGGCATGGCGTGAGAACAGTAAACCGCGCGCCGTGCTGCGGACTCGCCGTGTTTACACCGGGGGCCGGCGTCGCCGGGGTGACGTGGGCGTGGACAGTCTGGACTTCACTAAAAAAATTCTGCACATGGCTTGGCACCCGGCTGAAAACATCATCGCCATCGCAGCCACTAACAACCTCTATATCTTTCAGGACAGGGTCAGTGTGGAAAACCAGTGACAAGAGACATGTAACGGGGTAATGCAGTAATGCTCTTCACAGGGCCACACACACCAACATGCATTCAAATCATGCACATGCATTAAATTTATCCTTTAAAACAAATATTATTGGTCCTGTGAAGATGGACGTAGTTGCCAGACCCCAAAAGTAAACAGATGGACTTTGCAGTTAAGCCGTTCCAGGAGAGCAGTTATGTATAGCTAGTGACTTTAACTGATAACTTGTTTGGTTAGTTACACCGCCAAGAATGTTGCCAATGAGCTACGGTATGTGGAATTTATGATTGACCAGCCAATCCCGGACTGCTTTGATATGTGATGGATGGTGTTGCCGGCCAATCCCTGACTGCGCTGATCTGTGATTGACAGCTGTTTGGATAAAGGGCAGTGCCTTTGGGCTGAAGACCAGGAATGAGACCACTCCACTCCTCTGTGCCAGGCTGCCATGGAGACAGGTTACTCGGTTGCCATGGTAACAAGAGTGCTCTGAGCAGTCTTCCTATCACGTGCTTCCCAAAAACCTATCCCACAATGCATCTGCTACACGAGCACTCATTTTACTTCACATTGAATCGACCGTTTGTGGAGACTTGATTGCCTATACGACCAAATCACTATATCTCGCACTTGGAGAAGGTTTAAATTCCAGTACTTGTCTGGTGTATTCTATCAGAAGGATTGAACCACTACTTCATCAAAACACTGTCTTAACCTGGTTACACCTCATGATGGGTTATATTTACACCTGTATGGTAGAAAAGCATTGGTTTGTCTCTAAAAAAAAAGAAAGAAAGAAGAATGAGGGTATATCACTGCTAACATTCTTTCAAAAAATCCTTCTGTAGTCTTGTGTAAGGAAACTGACATGAGTCGGGAACTCAGGATCAAACTCTGATCTGGTTTCTGGTTATGCAGAGTTCTGGGCTCTCACAGTGAAGCACTGCCTTTTTATTTATGATTGTAGCTACTATACTGATCCCTCAAAAGGAAATTTAAACAGTCATGTAGGAAGTATAGATGAACAATTTAGTGACACAGGCTACAAAACAGTGCAGAAAGACATGGAAATCAGTTGGTTAATTTAAAGGATATTTTGGCATCAATGATTTACCACAAACAATAATTCTGACACATTCTTCTATTTGTTTAATTGTAAAAAATCTTAGAAAAAAGTACTTTCAGTGGAAGTCTGTGGGACATTCGGAGGGTTTAAAAGCAAACTTTTGCAGCTTGTATGTTTGTTAAAGTGCTTATATGAGTGGTTCTCAATGTTTGACTCCAAGGCCCCTCATTTTCCACAAGAATATCCAAAAACCCCATGACTTTTCCAGGTGTTCGTGTTTAACTGGAAAAAATATTTTTAACTCACAATTTATACCCAATATTTTAGAGCTTGGCATGGCTAGAAAACAATGTATATTCATCATCGTTTTAGGATTTTATCAAGTTACATGACTTATGCAGGTCTAGAAGTCACACTTTTAAATTAGGCTTCCTCATATATTCAGATTTGACAAAATTGTAGGAATGCTGGTTCTTTAAATACAGTTGAATTAGAACAAAAATATCGAGTTTTACTTGTGCTCATTTTAGTTTTGGCTCATTTTAATGCTTGTTTTGTGGCTATTCGTTGTTGTTGTTTTTCTTGCTTTGCTAATGCCTTGCTCCCTGGGCTTCCATTGTAAGTGCATGAACATAGTTGAGGATGTGTCAAAATTGCGTTTTGTGGCAACATGACAAATAGCTTATCTTGTATTGAATTTGGAACCATCATTCCAATATGTACCAGTGGATAAATCATTTCTACACTGTTTTCTGTGACCACACAGGTGTACATGTATCTCTCTATCCACTGTAGAAAGAACATGGCGAGTTATTTTTCATTTAAGGTGCCATTCACCTTCTGAGTGACTGTTTGTTTGGTGTAGATGTGGTAATGAATTGTTGGGTGTCTGTGTAGACTGTGACACAAAGGACAGTGATTGTTTTTGCTATATGAACAAGGCTGAATGAATGTAACTGTCAAACACATGTTTTTAATTAATACATTTTTAAAGTGTTATGATGTTAACAGGGTGCTCTCAAACTGACGAGCGAGCTTGCTTGCTTGCTTTTCTCATTTTTGTCCCTCTTCTGTCTTTTCCGGTGTTCACGTGTTTCCCTGTCCCATTTTTCTAGTACTCTTTGCTCTACATATACTGAGGCTGTGCCTCTTACAATCAGTTCCTCCACTCTTATTTTTACATTTGTAGTTCATTCACATCATTTTTGTACCCTGAGACAATGACTGCTTTTTTTCCACTCTGTTCCTCTTTCTCTCTCACTCTTTCGTTCTCTTACGTTCTCTGGTCCTGTTACCATGGTGATAGGCCTTCTGCCATTATACATTCTCTCATGCTTTCCTCTCTCAGACATGCAGTGAAACACACTCTCACATTCACAATGCAACCAGGGAATAATAGATTGAGTTTTTCAGGGCACACACACTCTCTCACACACACACGCACACACAAACAGGCCTATACATGCAAGCATACACACAAAAACGCATGTTTATCATTATCCAGTGTTACTAATGTGTATATCTATGATGCCTAAACATATTCTATTGACACTTAATGGAAAAATAAAAGAGGCAAATGGAGGAATGTGATTAAATTCATATGACCTCTGTATACCCGCTTAGATTATAGGTTTTTTTTGTCATAGTGTTGTTTCTCAGTCTCTGTCTGCTTCTGGGTATTTAACACACACACACACACACACACACATCTGATATGCTTATAGTGAACTAAATGCATGCAACTATGCAGCATCAGACCTTAGAAGGACAATAATTGTGAAAGGCACTTTAATCCATTTTAACATTTTCACAAAAGCACTGTAAACAGGTTTTACATCAACTTGTCATAAAACCTCTCAGGAAAACATCTGTGGAGAGATGGTTTTTTCCATATAACAAACAGTGACCATCATCAGAGTGCAAAAAAAAAAGGTTATTTCAACTAACCAATAAAAGATAGAGGCTCATGTTCACAGAAACACTTCATTTGATAAATATTTTGAATACTAAACAAGTATTCCATGCTTTCTTATTCATGACAAAAATAAATAAATGTTTGAAACAAAAATGTGAATAAAGATCAATTGCACATGGATGGTAATCATAAATGAGTTGTGAAGGTCAGAAACGTCTTAGGTCAGATCTGGTGGTTACATAGGATCTGGTGGTTTAGGATAAAAAGCAAGGAAGATGCTGCATATCACTTAACTAAAAATGTGAAACGAAACCCTAACAATCTTGGGCACAGGACAAAAAGGGCCAGTTCACACAGAGCACATTTTTTTTCCACTGTGCTGCTTTTTAATCATTTTTGTGTGTAAACATGCGAGATAGACGTCTTTGGTTGTTGGGTCACATCTTAATGCTTTTTCGACAAAAACGCATGTTTATCATTATCCAGTGTTACTAATGTGTATATCTATGATGCCTAAACATATTCTATTGACACTTAATGGAAAAATAAAAGAGGCAAATGGAGGAATGTGATTAAATTAATATGACATCTGTACTTACTGTATATTATACAGATTTTTTTTTTCCATAGTGCTGTTTCTCAGTCTCTCTGTCTGCTTCTGGGTATTTAACACACACACACACACACACACACATCTGATATGCTTATAGTGAACTAAATGCATGCAACTATGCAGCATCAGACCTTAGAAGGACAATAATTGTGAAAGGCACTTTAATCCATTTTAACATTTTCACAAAAGCACTGTAAACAGGTTTTACATCAACTTGTCATAAAACCTCTCAGGAAAACATCTGTGGAGAGATGGTTTTTTCCATATAACAAACAGTGACCATCATCAGAGTGCAAAAAAAAAAGGTTATTTCAACTAACCAATAAAAGATAGAGGCTCATGTTCACAGAAACACTTCATTTGATAAATATTTTGAATACTAAACAAGTATTCCATGCTTTCTTATTCATGACAAAAATAAATAAATGTTTGAAACAAAAATGTGAATAAAGATCAATTGCACATGGATGGTAATCATAAATGAGTTGTGAAGGTCAGAAACGTCTTAGGTCAGATCTGGTGGTTACATAGGATCTGGTGGTTTAGGATAAAAAGCAAGGAAGATGCTGCATATCATTTAACTAAAAATGTGAAACGAAACCTTAACAATCTTGGGCACAGGACAAAAGGCCAGTTCACACAGAGCACATTTTTTTTCCACTGTGCTGCTTTTTAATTGCTCTCATTCCATAGTTTAACCATGTTTTTTTTTTTTTTTGCAGGTTTTCTTCCAATTTAAAATAACTGTTTTTATTTTAATATATTTGAAGACATAATTTATTCCTGTGAAGCTGAATTTTCAGGAGCCATAACTCCATTCTTCAGTGTCACGTGATAATAACTGACCATCAAATCAGCATATTAGACTGATTTCTGAAGGATCATGTGACTGAAGACTGGAGTAATGATGCTGAAAATTCTTTTGCCATCACGGGAATAAGGTTTAAAAATTATTTATAATATACTGAAATAGAAAATAGTAATTGTAAATTGTAATAATATTTGACAATATAACTGTTTATACTCTATTTTTAATCTAACAAATGCAGCATAGGTGAGCAGCATTAGAGACTTAAAAAAAAAAAACATTTAAAAATGTGTGTTCCAAACTTTTGAGCAATAATGTAACTCAATGATTCTAAGAATACTCATATTTGAGTGTACAAATATCAAAGCATTAACAATTTTATAATAGCTGCAGAAAAGAATCATACATGTAATAATATAATACATGATCAAACATACATTTCCATCATTTTCCACAACAAAAATACATGATTTCTAATATAACATTAAAAATTAAGTATTTATTTTAAATGTTGACAGGAAAATATGCAAACTGTGTTTGGAGTTTGACAGCTCTTTCAAATTCATCCCTTTTTTTGAATAGGAAAAAACGTCTCAGGTTACGTATGTAACCCTGGTTCCTCGAGGGAACGAGACGCTGCGTCGGAAAACGCTAGGGGAAGGAACACACAACCTACAACGTGGCTTGCTCTCGCCCTTGAAATGCTTTGTCTTTGCATGAGCTTAGACATAGCTGGAGCTTATAGACTTTCACAATTGACAGACAACAATAAATATGACTGACACACACAGAGCGCTTCGCTGAATGACAGAAAGCTGACGCTGGCTCCGCCGCATGTGCTTTTATAGCTTCCTGGTCATGACGTCACCCGCCCGTGACGTCCCGCTCAGCTATTGGACTGATTTCACATGTTATTCAGAGCGTGGTCACAGAAGGCGTTCCCCCTAGCGTTTTCCGAAGCAGCTCAAGCTCCTGAAGAGGAACTCCAAACACTTTAACTGTAATTTATATTTCTATATCTGTGACCTTTCCTTCCACTTCTTCCTTACACATTGATCCTAGCACAGAGAAAGGGAGCAAAGAATAAGTCAAATGCAAATTGAATGGCTTTAAGCATGGTTTTCCTCCAGTTCCGTTCAATCTTAACCTGTCGTCCCTCAGGCCCCAATGATGAGCTGCAGTCCAGACAGTGTATGGCTTTCAGTTCAAATGCGGGTAGTTTGGTACCCAACTTCCTTTCCAGCTTTGTGCTGAACTCTACCATGCTGCCTGGATCGAGGTTCAGCAGCACCTGTCTAAACTCGTGACTCGCCATTAGGAGGATGTCACCTGCCGGATCGTCAACTTGTGTGACTCCATCCACCGGCATGCCGACCGTCACCTCAAAGCGGTAACTGTCAAAGCGTTTAACGTGGCATTGGTGTTTCGCAAAGGCCTTTATCCGCCA